CCCAGAAGTTCATCACAGGGGTAGGGCCCTCCCAGCTTGTTACCCCAAGGTCTTTCTTGCTTCCTCCAGACACCTCAAGGTTACCACTGAAGCCCTCTGGCTGCCCACTTGCCATTCCTCATTGATGTCACTTGACCAGTTCACCTTCTTTTCCTTTGATCCATTTTTGTGATTGACAGATACCAGGTAATGTGAAGGGGGTGGGGGGAAAAGTACTGAGGGGATCAGGGAAGATTTCATAGAGGAGGTGACATCTAAACTTGAGCCTTGAAGGACGATAAGGATGCTGAAAGGCATGGCAGAGGAAATATGAATGGATGGACAAATGGAAAAAGTATTTATTAAGCACTTTAGTATATGCTAGGCATCATGCTAAGCGCTAAAGATACAAATATAAGCTAACAAGACAGTCCCTGTTCTCAAGAAGCATACATTCTAATGGAAAAGATAACACATAAAGTGAAGCTAGAAGGCAGTGGGGGAAGATGTTAACAGAAGAATGTTTGGAAATAACCAGGAAGAGTCATGGTGGCCAGATTCCAAGAAAGACAAAGTATCAGAGCCTAGGGTCCCAGAGGCAGGGTCTAAGTTCTGGTGATTGGAAATCTACCAAGTAATTAATTCTGCAGTAGAGTTAGCAGAGGTCCAAAATTCCAAGTGGCCTGGCAGCATAGAATACAGCATGTCGATATGTACTGTTGAACAACCTGAAATACATTACAGAGTCTTCTGTCCTTTTGTTTCAGAAAATGCCGTTGAGCACGATCTATTCTGGAGAACACAAATTAGTAAAAGGTAATTATATATTAAAAGTATTTTCTAGTCGTGGAAAGTTTGAGGGTTGCTAGTCTGATCACACATAACTATTTGACTTATATGAAGTAAGGATTAAGGAAGAAAGAAGGAATGAATTACTGCAAGAGACCTTTCCAAGTGCCCCTCACTGACCAACTAGTGACCTCCCTCTGAGATTATCTTTAATTTACCTTAAATATATCTTGTATGGACAGGATGTTTCCAAGTTGTCTCCTTCCCCCATTAGAATGTGAGCTCCTCCAATATGGGGACTGTCTGGGGGCTCTCTTTGTACTCCCAGGGATAACTCAGTGCCTGGCACATAGGCATTAGTGAATAAAAGCTTGCTGATAGCCTGATTATGGGTGGAAATTCACTTTAAATGTAAATAGTAGTAAACATGTTGGTTAGCTTTTGTAATTTAAGTTAAAAACAGTGAAATAATTTGTGTAATAATAATCAGTGAAATTTGAGTAATAAGATTTAGTTATCAGAGGGCCTTAGCTCTCATAAGCTCCACCAGTTACTTGGGGACTGGGCAAGTCACTAAACTTCTCTGAGGCCTCAGTTTCCTCAAGTGTAAAATGAGGAAGCTCAATCAAACCATCAACAAGTTATTCCACGCCAGGCACTGTTGTAGGCTCTGGGAGTACAAAGATAAAAGTGAAATAGTGCCTGCCCTCAAGGAGTTTACACTCTATAGGAGGAGATAGGGAGAGAGACAGAGACAGAGAGACAGAAACAGAGAGAGACAGAGAGAGACATAGACAGAGTTATCTACAAAATATATATTATACAATAAATACAGGATAATTTGGAAGGGGCAGGCATCTTATACAATAAATACAAGGTAATTTTGAAGGGCAGGGCACCATACACAATAAATACAAGGTAATTTTGAAGAGGCAGGCACAAACAGTTGGGGAGTGATCAGAATAATTGAACCAGACGACCTCTAAAGTCTCTGCCAGTTCCAAATCTATAATCCAATTTTTAAAAACATTAACATATAACCCTTCCACGACACACACAAAAAGTACCAGACCCTATAACACCAAATGAGTTATTTCCTAAACTTATCTTTCATTTCATAGAAAATAGCATGTTGGTAATTCTCTTCAGTTTAAGTCTTTCCTCTATTAATAAAATTACACATTTGAAAGAGGAAAAAAAAGTTTCATTTATCAAAATAATGAAACATATTCAACCTTTCATTTCCATTTTAGGCTCTTATTTCATAATTTTCATGGGTTAAGCTCTCCCAGAAAACTGAGCTATTGTGAAGTTAACAGCTCAGTGATTTTTCAGGGGTCAGCAAAGTTACCCAAGTATCTTGACCCTCTAAAGCCCTGGGCCTTACCACCAACTCGTTCCACAACTAGGGTCACAGCAGGTCATAAAAAGTAGGAGGGGAACCAGACTCCCTTTGTACTAAGAGACCTGGGCCCATCAGAATCCCATTACTTATCACTGCATTTAAACCCAGGTCTCCTGGAGTTAGGAAGACTCATTGTCTTGAGTTCAAATCTGGCCTCTGACATTTACTAGCTGTGTGACTCTGGGCAAGTCACTTAACCCTACTAGCCTCAGTTTCCTCATCTGTAAAATGGGTTGGAGATGGAAATGGCAAACCACTTCCAGTATCTTTGCCAAGAAAACCCCAAATGGGGTCACCAAGAGTTAGACACAACTGAAAAACAACCAAATAACAAAACCGAATACTTATTATTGCTTGCTCTTGGATTTGAACCCAGGTCTATCTGAATCCAAGTCCAACCCTAATTTATCCATTGTAGGAACTCCACACTGTGCATGGAACCCTTACCAGGAAGAGACCCACCCATGTGGAGCAAAAGACCCCATTTGACTGATTAAAAGCCCAGCCCAAGAAAATATATCAATAATAAGAGCTAGGATTTGTATAAAATTTTAAGATTTGCAAAATGCTTACATGTTATCTCATCTGAGCCTCACAACAACTCTTTCAGGGAACATGACGTAAGTGCTAATATTATCCCTATATGGGCAGTGAGACAACTGAGGTAGAGAGAGGTTAAATGACTAGTCCAGGGTCACTTGGCTAATAAGCATCTAAAGCAGAATTGGAACTCAGGTCTTCTTAACTTTTTTTTTTTTTTTGCTTGGTGAGGCAATTGGGCTTAAGTGACTTGCCTAGGGTCACACAGCTAGTAAGTGTCTAAGGACAGATTTGAACTCAGGTCCTCTTGACTCCAAGCCTGGATCTCTTTCCACTGCACTACCTAGCTGCCCCTCTTTTTTTTTTTTAATTTATTTGGCAATTGTGGTTAAGCGACTTGCCCAGGGTCACACAGCTAGTTAAATGTCAAGTGCTTGATCTGAGGCCGGATTTGTACACAGGTCCTCCTGACTTCAGGGCCAGTGCTCTATCCACTTCACCATCTAACTGCCCCCTTCTTAACTCCTACATTTGACATTCTATCCACTATCTCACCTAGCTGCATGCCCCTCATTCAGGATCCTTATGGGTTGGAAAATTAAATCTGTAAACCCATATCTAAACAAGCCTGTATCCATTTGTACATAATTTGCTTGTTCTCTTCCCTGTCAAGAGTGTGATCTCCTTGAGAGCAGAGATGGTGTTTTTATCTCATTGTATTCCCAGCACATGCTGTACCTGGCACAGAGGAAGTGCTTAATAAATGCTTGTGCACGGATTGTAGGAAAAGGGGAGGGCACAATACAGGCTTGTTTGACTCCTGACCAGGGCTGAGGCTGCAGATCACAAATCTGATTTAACATCTGATGAGTGGCTGGGGGGTGGGGTGGTAAACTGGTCAATTCCTCGGCTTCCTTCAAGTCCCAGCTGAAATTCCACCTTTCACAGGAAGCCTTTCCTGATCCCCCTTGTTGAACAGCAAACTGACCTATTAGAGTGAGAGCTTCTTGAGGGGGTCTCTTTTGGTGTTCAGCACAATGCCTGGCACTTTTTGTTGTTGTTGAGTTGTTTTTCAGTCCTGTCCAACTCTTTGTGTCACCCCCTTTGGGGTTTTCTTAGCAAGGATACTGGAGTAGTTTGCCACATTCTTCTCCATTTCACAGTAGGTATTTAATAAGTATTTATTAACTATTGACTTGCTCATTAGAAGCTAAAGTCTCTGAGGGCAGGGACAGAGCTATTGCCTCTCTCACTGCCCAGCACAGTGCCTGGCACATAGCAGGCATTTAATACATGTTTATTTACTTTCTTATTAGAAGGTGAGCCCCCTGAAGGCAGGGACAACGCTTTTGCCTCTCTTGGTGCTCAGCACAGTGCCTGGCACATAGCCGGCATTGTATACGTGTTTACTGACTTTCTGACTAGAAGGTGAGCCCCCTGAGGGTAGGGACAGCGCTTTTGCCTCTCTCGCTGCCCGGCATGGTGCCTGGCACATAGCAGGCATTTAATACATGTTTGACTTTCTTATTAGAAGGTGAGCACCCTGAGGGCAGGGACAGCGCTTTCGCCTCGCTCGCTGCCCGACACAGTGCCTGGCACACAGCAGGCGCTCCACAAACGCCGCGGCCGGACTTCGGGAGGCCCCAAGCTCTTGCCGGACGCTCGCCGACTCCTCTGGCCAGCGCTGGGGCCCCATGACACGACGCGGACCGGACGTGTAACGAGCGGCTCCCGAGCGGGTTGACCTGCGCACCCAGCGAGCTCCCGCAGGCAGAGCAGGAACAAAGCGCGCAGAGCGTCCGGGGGAGGGAGGGAGAGGAGGAGGAGGAAAAGGAGGAGGGAGGAAGGACCGCCGCCGGCTGCTGCGGCTGGAGGAGGAGGAGGAGGAGGAGAAGGAGGAGAAGGAGGAGAAGGAGGAGAAGGAGGAGAAGGAGGACTAGGAGGAAGAGGAGGGGGGCGGGCGGAGGGCGGAGGGCAGGGAAGGGAAAGAGAGGAAGAAGTTCAGAGCACCGCAGCCGCGGCAGCCGGGCGCGCACCGCGGGAGAGCCGGGAGAGGCCGGCAGCGCGCGGCCCGCAGCCGGGCTCGCTCGGTGCCATGCATTAAATGAAGCGGCCGCCGGGCTCCTGCGGCTGAGTTAGCGCCGCCCGAGCGCTCGGGGCCCCGGAGGCGGAGGCGGCAGCGGCAGCGCAGGAGAAGCAGCAGCAGCAGGAGCGGCCGCCGCCCCCGGAGCGCCGCGGCCCAGCCCTAGCCGCCCCAGCGGCCCCCTCCGGGAGCCGGCCTCGGCCGAGTCCAGCCCGGGAGCGAGCGGAGCAGCCGGGTCAGTCCCGGGCCGGAGGAGCCGCCCTCCAGCCATGGCGACCAAGGTGAGGCGGGGCCGCGCGAGCCGGGCCGGGGGACAGGACGCCGGCCAGACCCCGCGAGGGCCCGGCCCAGGGAGGGGGAGGGGGAAGGGGGAAGGGGAAGGGGAGGAGGACGGGGCCGGGGCGGCTTCCCCTAGCGGGGAGCCACGCTGACACCCCTTCCCCCCAGCACTCCCCCCTCCCCAGGGGGGCGGTGTCCCGGGGGTTCGGGGTCCGGCGGTGCCTGGCCGAGGGGGGAGTTCAAGGGCGCCCCTGAAAGAGGAGGGAGCAGAAGAGCTGCGCCCCCTCCCCAAGGTGGGGAAGGAGGCCTCTCCTGCCCTGGAAAGTTTTCACCTGAGTGTTAGTTTCCTCTCCGCCCTAGAAGGGAAAAGGAAGGGGAAGGGGGAAGGGAGGAAGGCTAAAGTCCCCGGGAGCGGGCCGGGAACGTCATTCCCCGGGGCTGGAGCCCTGGGGGCGCGCGGGACCACTCCCCCCTTCCCCACCCCACCCCGGTGCCCGAGGCTCTTAAGCAGCCGCTTGCCCCGGGCACCCCAGACCAATGCCCCAAATGTTGGGCTTCCAAAGTTTGCAGCTTGCATAAAGAGAGGAAAACTAAAATGAAACACGACGCAAGTCAGCGTCCTTCGTGTCTGGGTACTTTTCCCATTTTGTTATTGCCACATTTTTCGGTGCCTCGGATAAAACGTAAGGGAAATGACTGCTCTCTTTGGCGTATACGTTGAATTATGTTGGAAAAAGTCACAGGATCTGATTATTTGGTGGAACTTTGACTCACAAATGGTCCTTTTCCAAAAAGGGCTTCTTGTCCTAATAATGTCATGTTGGCTAAATGAGGAGACGGGTTTTGCAATCGGGGTTATGTAAACAACTCTGTTCAGTCCCTCCTTTACCTAGGTATTTATCTTATTGAAAATAGGCGCAGGTAAACCGTTTATCATTGATAGGGCCATCTGGGGGGTAGTCCATTTAGGAGATAGTGACAGTATGGTTGACAAAACTTGGAGCATGGATGTCCCGGTTTGGTTTTTTCTTTTGAGTTTTTCTAGTGGTCACTATATACTTTTGTAGCTTTTGACCATATTATTACTTTTTTTTTGCATTAGTAATAATAGTGAAATGATGAAAATTTTGGTAATATTCTGAAAAATTAAAATTGTTCAATTACAGTTAACTTTTTTACTTACTAAACCATGAACTCCAAGTGGGGACTTGATTTAAACTTTATTACCGCCCTCCTTCCTTAATTCTCCAGACTAGGTGTTTAGGAAATGTTGGAATTGAATTGATTATCTGTTTAATAATATTTACAATTTATATGGAATCTGCTGTCTTCCTAGCACTGTACTAAGGACTTCACAATTACTATCTCATTTCTTTCTCACTTCAACTTTGAGAGGTGGGTGCTATTATTATCCTCATTTTACATTTGAGGAAATTGAGGCAAACAGGGTTAAGTGACTTTCCCAGAGTCACACAGCTAGTGTCTCAGGCTGGATTCAACTCAACTCTTCCTGCCAGCATTCTATCCACTGTGCCACCTAGCTGCCCATATATTAGATGTATTTATATAAAAGGTGCAGATTATGGCCCAAGGAACTTGTTACACATTGTAATTGAAATCATTTTTTACTGTTACTATAAAACACACTATTCCCTAGTTTTATTAGGTGTAATCATTCAGCTTGCTGTCTTTTTAATGTAAACATTAATTTGTGTTGACCTCTAAAAACAAAACTTAATATTCAGCACAAAGATTTCCAAAGAAAGCTGAAATTGTTATGATGCCAGACATTCCAGAAATTCAGCGACATGTTCTGTCCACCAATCCCAGAACTTTAAAAGGTAGCACAGAGAACTAGACTTAGTAATGAAATATTAGTGTGCTGTATCCTGAATATCCTTTTGCATTGAAATAAATAAATTCAGATTTAACTATTCACAAGTACACCACACTTTATACCAAAACTTGAACTTAATTTTTTTCAAAAGTTCAGAATATTTGGTTTGGATATTTGTGTGTGAGTACACCCATGCTAAACTTTGGTGTGGTTGTGTACTGATTAGGCAGAGCTAAAATAGTTAAATACTTGTAATAATTTGGTTATCTACAGCATTCAGAAGGCAAATTTCTGTATTCTCTCTGATAAAAGTTTTTTTTCTCTACCCCCAGTCATTAATCCACATTGTACTAATTCCATGTTTTCACTGGAACACATTTCTGTCTAGAAGAAAAATATTAATGATTACTCTTCATATAAAATATCAGTTACTGCAGGGAAGCTCTTACTTGACTTTGCATTTTTCCCCCTCTTACTTTCCCAGTGAATAATGGTGGGTTCTTCACATTGGAGAAGTTTTGTTTTCTTTATCCATCTCTCAATTTTGAGGAAGGCTTAACTTTGGATATATCAAAGACCAGAATTGTTATGAAACCAAATATTGATGTCACTATTGAGTACTGGTCTCGGTATTCAAAGTGGGGAGTACTAAAGCAGAACCCCAGATTTAGGACTTTGCACAGGTGGATTTTTTTAAACTACTACATTCGATCATTATGTGCTTATAGCTTATATATATGTATATGTACACATATGTTTGTGTAGGTGTATATATACACATGTATGTATATATAAATGTATGGGAGGGTGTAGTTCAGGGCATAGCATGTTGGACCTGGAGTCAGGAAGACCTGAGTTCTAATCCTGCCTCAGACACTTAACTAGCTTTGTGACCCTTGGACAAGTTACTTAACCTCTCTCAGCCTTGGTTTCCTCATCTGTGAAATGGGGATGATACTAGCACCTACCTTGAAGGGTTGTTTGAAGATGAAATGAGATAGCACATGTAATTGTTGTTGTTCAGTCATTTTAGTCATGGCTCTTTGTGAGCCTATTTGGGTTTTCTTGGCAAAGATACTAGAGTGGTTTGCCATTTCTCTCTTCAGTTCATTTTGCAGATGAGGAAGCTGAGGCATATTTGACTTGTTGGATTTGAACTCAGCTCTTCCTAATTCCAGGCCCATCGATACCTCCACTGTGCCACTTATCTGCCCCTGTAAAGGGCAAAACTTAAAAGTACTGTGTAAATGCTAGCTTGCTATTTAATCAACAGAAAAACAAATGCTTTTGTTTCAGTTATCCAGATATTTCAGGTAGTATGGTTTCCCCTACAGGCAGTTAGGTGGCATAGTGGATAGAATGCTAGACCTGGAGTCAGAAAGACTCCTCTTCCAACCTCACACACTTATTAACTGTGTGGCCCTGGGCCAGTCACTCAAGCCCGTTTACCTCAGTTTCCTTATCTGTCAAATGAGCTGGACAAGGAAATGGCAAACCACTTAAGCATCTTTGCTAAGAAAACCCCAAATGGGGACATGAAGAGTGGAACACAGTTGAAAAAAGTAACAGGAACACGGTTCCTCTACCTCTAGATTTTCTGTCATTGTCTCGGTCCCCTGTCTTGCTCTGTCAGCATTATTGACACAGCCCTAATTTCTGTGTGCTGCTTTTGTAGTCTTGTACTTTTCATTACCTTTCTGCATGTTTAGGATCATTTAATTCAGAGTAAATTTGTTACTCAGTTTAACATTAATAAGGGTGGTTTTTAAATTTGTTGGGGATATTTCTGATCTTAGCATACCAAGAGTAGAATAAAAGAAAATAAAATTTAGGAATAATATTGACATTTTTTTTCTCTCAGGTTAATTGTTTGCATAATTTTGAAGTATTATTGTCTTATTATTTCTTTGTTCCTACATCCATTCCCAAACGGAAGGCCAGTGTAATAGTTCATTATAACAGGGACTAGAATATGCTGTACCATGAATGAATGAAAAAGCATTTATTAAGCCTTTTGTATATATGCCTGCGCTCAAGGAGCTTACATTCATTTGGATGGTGAAGTAGGAGAATGGTGCCCGGGGATGGGCACTCTGAAATTTCCTGGCATGGTGGATGTGGCCTTAGGGAAATGCATCCACATACCACCCCTGCCCCGTTTTCAGGAGAATCAGCAGAGTTGATTTGATCCTGATTTCAAATCTGGAGGGGAAGAGAGGATGTTCCTGAGATGAAAGGGTTAAAATCTCCAGGGTATGAGCTTTAGGCAAGACAGCTGGCACGACCTGGGTAAGGTGAAGACGTTGATAAATAAAGCTAGTGACAAACTTGATCAGATTTCTGCTATCATACGCTGTTAGGTAGCATGGTAAAATTTAGCAAGCTTTTCTCATTCTTTGTATTTTCATCCCCAGGCCTGGGGGCTAGTACAGTGCTTGGCACATTAGTAGGTGCTTAAGAGAGGCAAAGTTGATTGAATGATCTTTTGAGGTGGGCCCATTTCACAGAGAAATAAAGTGACTTGATCACATAGCGAATGAATGAATATCAGAGGCAGTATAAACCCAGATCTACAGTCTAGGGCTCTTTGCAGTGGTAGGTTTTTAAACTTCCAACATCAGCAAAAAGTTTTACTGTAGTTGAATGACTAATTCATATGAGGAACTTGTTAGTAAATGAAATGTTGATTGTATGAAAAAATGTCATTTTAAGAACCATCAGGAGCTGTTTTTGCAGATGTTGCAATATCCTCAAAAACATTTTTTTAAAAGTTGCTGAGAGTTTATGCATGTAATTGAACACAGCGGGCACACACACACACACACACACACACATACAAACACACACACACACACACACAAAAATATACTCGTTACCCTTAGCTTTAATTTTCTTGCCAGAGTTAACCTTTGGTATCAAATGTAGATTGCTTTTGTGTTGACATAATCATGATCTAATTCTTTTTCTTTTCTTTTTAAAACATTTTTGAAGGCGTTCCTAACATTAATATTTTTTTTTTATTCCCTCCTTTTCATCCCTGGCTTTCAAAGTACAGTATTAGCCTCATGTTGTTTGTATTAAGCAGCTTGTCTCACTGAACTAAGTGGGTGTGGAATGTTGAAAATAACTAATAGGCAGTGATTGGACCACTTAAAACAACCCATG